CCAACTGCTATGCAATATTTTGGTGAAGCCCACATTGCTATATAGTTTACAAGTCTTGGGTCTACATACATTCCTCTAACTGTTTGATTTTCATCCGGAATTCCTGCATGAATTTTGTATAAAAACAACCCGCTTTTTCCGCGGTTTGGTATATTCTTCACAAAATGCCTCAAAATACTCTTCCAGGACTTATTTTCCAACAACCTTCTAAAGTCTTTCCTAAACTGCTGACATATCTTTGTTGCATTTTACATAACCATCCTTGTCTCTACGTAAGACTTCAATACCGTTTTAAGTGCCTTTTGTGAATGTTTCGCCATTAGATTTGTTCGTGAACGTTTTTGCTTCGACTGTCATACTGTTCTTACAATAAAAATAAAAAAATATTTTTTGGTGGAATGTCGGACATTCGGTTTGTGGCTTAACGTCGGACCACAACGATAAAAATCTCTGCTTACGTAGCAGTCTTTTCTGACAGCTAGCAGTACTTTTACTGACAGTAGCAGTACTTTATCGTCGAAAACCCTCTCAAATTTTCCTTTTTTCTGCTCCTAGCAGTACTTTTACTGTCAGTAGCAGTACTTTTACTGACAGTAGCAGTACTTTTACTGACAGTAGCAGTACTTTTTCTGACAGTAGCAGTACTTTTTCTGACAGTAGCAGTACTTTTTCTGACAGTAGCAATGGACAACATCGAGCCATTAGATGAGGCAGTTTACCTAATTGAAATTAACGAGCTTGTTAAAGACTTCCTCAGGCAGAATGTAAAAGGCAAGCTTGTTAACTGTTGGATAACGGGAAGGGCTGCCTTGAATCTCGAGACTTCGACCGGAATTCCAATTCAAATACCAGAAAACACTCCTTTCGACGACATAAAGCAAGCAAAGAAGGAAGCCATTATAAAGTTCTTTGCCAAGCGTCCTTGGATACTACTTCCAAACAGAGAGAACCCTTTCCCAAGAATTCCCACATTTAAATTCAAATTCGAATAAAAATTTTTTACTTCATGCAATGTTTTATTTCTGTGCCGTCTTCAAGTATACCCCAGTACTTGCGCTTGGAGAGGACATGAACTTCTGAAAATACCTTATCTAGCTTAAAACAGCCCATCTTTTCACCGACTAAACCCATTTCAATGAGTTTGTTGTATCCTTCTTCGTTCGTCATGAGTGCGTCAATGTTCTCATAGTATACCTTCACTTTCGATTTAACATCGGAGAAGAACTCATTGTAGTTGTCAAGGACTGCTTTTGCGAACTGAGGATAAGACCAATGTTCGACAATAGGTTTTACTGTGGTTACTAAGCCACATTGACCTTGAGTAAATTCGTATTTCAAAACAAAAGGAGAAAACCTTTCAACAAAGTTGTCGACCTTCTCATAGTGTTTACTCTTCATCTTTTGAGGTTTTTTAATGGAATATCCCCATGTCGAATTCATAAGCAATTTGAGTGTCATTGCAAGTTTGGGGTTTGAAGCTTTCCTAATATCATAGAGTTGTTGTATGACTTTTCCAACTGTATAGTTCCTTCCTGGGAACTCACCGTCTTCGTTTGGAATTCCAGTCGGGATATATTGGACGAACCTCATGTATGCAGCGTTAAGGTCGACATAGTATATCTTTTCGTTTGAGTCGAACTTGTCGCAACCAATGGGTCCAGTTCGTGGAAATTCAAGTGAGTCTCTTATCTTCTGAGAAACTTCGCCTGCTATCTCATAAACATCGTCGAAGCAACCTTTCATATAAAACCTTCTGACCTAACTCCGATGCTCTCCAATACAATTTGACGTCGATTGGATGTCTCAATGGAAGTTTGTTTATAGCATCTTGAAGTTCTTGCAACCTCATTGGAAGTTCTTCTGGTTCAGGTTGGTATCCGAACAATCCAACTCCTTTTGGAACAGTGTACTTCTTTTGTGCTATAACTTTGTCTGGAACAACTTTTGGTCTTGCTAACAATGAAAAGTTTGTTTCGTCTTTTGGTACAAAAGTTTCTGTCAGCTTGTCATCTGGAATCGGTTCCAACAAGCCTTTCTCGAAAAGAATGTTAACAGCTCTGACAATGTTGCATTTGCCTTTTCCGAACAATGGGTTTGTAAGACTTTCGTTCAACATGAAGTGGTTGTGGACAATTGCAATCTTCAACCATGGTAAATTGAACTCAACAACATAGTCGTCATGTGAAGAACCTTTAGCTGTAGGTATGCTGACTCGGATATTGACATTTGCCAACGGTGCAATTTTTGCCAATTGACCTCTGAGAATGTACCTTGTCTTCACACATGACTCAAGATACTTCATCTTCTCATCTGTAACAAGACCAGAGTTCCTGAGACATGTAAGAATACAAGGTTCATTGACAATTGTTTCAATTGAATTGTAAATTCCATACCTTGTCAAGTCAATGTCAGACTTATTTATGAACGGGAAGTATCCAGCATGTTGTCTGACTGCTTGAGGGTTAGGTTGGTACCATTCGAACTTGACACTTGCAATTCCTTCAATTGCATTCAAAATGTCTGAGTCGGAGTCAACCATTTGTTCTCTCTTTGTAGTCTTGAAAGCGTCAAGAAGCATTGCAGCTTTGTGACATTGCCATGTGCATAGTAAATGTGACCATCCAAATCTGTTATGGTCAATCTGAGATTGTATCCTTTCTTATTTCCATCTTGAATTGCAGCAAGTACTCCCATGAAGCCTTCTTTGTTCTTTCCTTCGTCAAAGTTTACTGTAAAGGTTCGACCAGATGTAATTTGACTTCTAACTTCACGGTACTTCTCATATGCATATCTTGTTCTTTCCATGGGAGCATGACCATCCTCTGCACTACCTTTTTTCCTTCTCAAAGGATGCAATTGTTCGTCATGTTTCCAGTAGAATCTGGCAAAGCCGTCGTGTCCTTCAACTTGAGGTTCACTAACATCGAAAGGCATGTCCATAAGACGTTCTTCTTCTAACCTCTCTAGTCTGTTTGGATAATTTGCACGTGCTGTTTCTATGTCCATTTCGTAGCGAAGACCAGACAGTTTGTCATAGACTTTTATGGGTCTTCCCTTCCTATATTTAAAATTCTTTGAAACTCTCCAGCCATATCTTTGCAACTCTGCTTTTATTCTAGCAGACTTTCTATCCATTCTATGCGGGGGCATTTTTATAAAAATAAAAAAAATATTTTTTTCTTTACTTTACATAACCGCCTGCTACCAGAAGCCTTTGACGCCAACCCATACCAGCTAATGAAGGTTGACTTGGTTTAGTTTCCAAACTAAACTTTGGTTTTGGTTTATCTTCAGTTTTTGGTTTTTCTTCTTCTATCGGTTTTTCGTCACTTTTTGGTTCCTCTGACTTTACCTCACCTGCAGGAACAGTTGTGTTGTCAACATCTTCATAAATATATATGCCATTTGTTTTTGTTTTCCTTTCAACTTTTTGTGTTTGTTGTAAAGTTTAGAATATTTCGACTCTAAGTCAATGAGATGTTCTATAATGAACTGTTGGTCAGTGAAGTAAACTTTTCCATCTGTTGTCTCGAAAGCTCCTTCAGACTTCAATATTTTATTTGTGAGAGTCTGTTTCTTTTTTGATACTAGCCGTTCCATTTCTATGAAAAGTGACTTTATAGTTAGGGTTTGTATTTCCAGACCTGGCACTTTCTATTATTGAATTTTTCTCTTCATCTGTAAGTTCTTTGACAGGTTTTGACAATGGTTCTGAACTTTTTGTTTGTGGTGTCAAATCTACCGTTTCAACTTCTTCGGTCATTTCATCTCAGTAAAAAATTTTAGTTTGTTTTGTTTTCAACTGGTTGTTTAGGTTTTTTAAGTCGGTCTAAAACTTCCTGAGGTATAGGAGGACTTGACAAACACGTGGTTGTGTAACTGCTGGAAGTCGACAAATCCATCTTGAACCCATTTGTCTCAATGCTGTATTGTTCATTTCATCTCAGTAAAAAACTTTACATTCCCCACGTTTGAGGTGGTTGCGGTTGGTTATTGTTTACCCACTGTTGTGCATGGTTATATCCTCTGTTAAAGAATCTTTCACCTTGGTCCATATAGTGTCCTGCTTGGTTATAGTAGTCATTTGCTTTGTTATAATAGTTTCCTGCTTGTCTTCCTACATTATCCATCCATCCTTGAACTTTTCCTCTTGTTTCAGGATTTGGAATAAGATTTGCTGCATCTCGTGCTACATCCCAACCTTTCTGTACAGTTTGTATAATAGGTTGTGCTTTCTCTTTAAGTATACCTAATGTACTCAAAATCTTCCTTCCAACTCCAAATACACCTCTGGCTATTGTTCCCACTGCGGGCAAAAATCTAGATGCAACTCCTGCTAATGCGCCAAATAAACCCATTTCTTATGGGTTAAAAAATGACGAATCCAAACAAGGACCCCTATGTTTCTAAAGCGACAAAGAAAGCACTCATGATAAAAATCTTTAGTTCAACACCAAATGTTGGTTTATGGATATCTTGGAAAACATTCCGAGGTATAGAGAAGATGGACCACCATACTGGCTAATATTTGTCGGTCAAAACACAAGATACTGTGAAGCCATACCATTACAGTCCAAAATATTTTAGATGTAAAAACTGCTTTGACAATATTCGTTGACAAATACCATCCAACAAAACTGACATCTGACTGTGAAAGTTCTTTCAAATCAGACGATATTAAAAACTATCTGCGTTCAAAAAATGTAAACCAATATTTCATTGTCGACCAAAACCATTCTGCTCTTGGTGTCATTGACAGTTGTATAAAAATCTTAAGAGACTTAAATCAACCACAAGGTGGTGAGGTAGATGAAATGTCATATGACGACAAATATAGACACTTCTCCCAGGCAAAGATGAGACAAGTTTTAAATATTTACAATAACCGTAAACAAAAAGGTTTGGGAAACCACTCCCCTGAAGAAATGAAAAACAACCCTGACTTAGAGAAAGACTATATATTTAATAATTTAGTCAAAAGAGACAAACAAGAAAGAATGCCAGGCTTCAAACTTAAGAAAGGTGACAAAGTAAAAATAGAAATACCTAAACGCGACCCATATGAAAATACTATTGACTATGACAACAATGGGAACTCGACAGGTACTCGCATTCGTGTTCGTAAAAATAGAAGAAAGTATACAAGAGAATATTATGAAGTTTTAGGCAAACATGGCAAAATGTACAGACTGCAAGCAGAAGATAAAACTACTATTGTCAGACCTCGTTTCAAACTTGTCAAAGTTCAAGGTGGTATACTTTCAAAGACAGTTCCTAACAAATATAAGACAACTCCAGACGAATATGCTAAAGAAGTTGAAAATGACGACTAAGCAATTCTATACCATGCGTAAACTGTCATGTAAGGTGGCATGTAGTCTTTACTCTGTCCCGTTGTTTGCGTATATCCTGAAACGAAATGTGTATGGTTTCCTTCTCCCTGCGTGTCATCCCAGTAACAATTTATAGCAAACTTAACGTCGTCTTTAACATCATATCCTTTACCTTTTGTCATTCCTGACCAATCCCAATATCTATGCTTATGCCAACCTGCTTGAGATGTACTTAAATCTATGTAGTGACTATGTGGTGGCAAGTTGTCGACAGATATCTTTTTACTTCCACCTGTTTCCTTTGAAGAGTTTGCACAATACAAAAACCTGTCGACTATTTGTTCCCATGCACCAACACCAAACATTACTTGAGGACCTCTTGCTTCCATAGATGTATAAATAGAACCTACTGGGTTCATTAAATCAAACATATGAGATATTATAGGATTGTCTCTTTTGAACTTAAAATATAGTGCAACTATTTCAGGTTTCTTCTGGTTTGTGTCAGAATATTTTTTATAATATAATCTTATGTTTTCAGGGTAGGTAAAGTCTTGACTATAATATTTATTTCTGTCATCTTCATAATAGTATACTATTCTCGTTTTTTCTATTGCATTATATCTTTTATATCTATAAAAATCTAAATATAATGTTAGCTTTTGTTCATCTACATGTGGTGTTCTAACGTCATCTCCATAGTCATAATAGTATGGTGCTGGAGCTGGGTCAGGCAATGTCATATCTGTCATTTCATAAACTCTTAAATATTTCTTTTGTTCGTCTCCATATAAGTTTAAGTAGCAGTTGTTGTCTAATGGAACTTTAACTTGTGTACCATCGTTCTTTTTATAGCTTACATACATTTCATTGTTATTTTTCGGAATGAGTTTATACCGTGTACCATTTTCTAAGGACTGTACCAACTGCCATCTAAAATATTTGTTTTCTTCATTGACAGAAAAGTCACCAACCATAGTTTCAATATTTTTTGTTCCTAGCAAACTTTGGTATATTTCATTGACATATGTTTTATCTGCTTTATTTTCAAGGCTAACGTTTAAGTCTGTTATTTCAGAAGATGTATGTGTATGTCCAACGGCACTTTTCCTGTTTAAGGTTTCTTGTAAGTTTGTAATATTTGCAATGGTATGTGTATGTCCAACGTCACTTTTCCTGTTTAAGGTTTCTTGTAAGTTTGCAATATTTGCAATGGTATGTGTATGTCCAACGTCACTTTTCCTGTTTAAGGTTTCTTGTAAGTTTGTTATTTCAGATATAGTATGTGTATGTCCAACGTCACTTTTCCTGTTTAAGGTTTCTTGTAAGTTTGTTATTTCAGATATAGTATGTGTATGAGTCTTTTTAGAATATTCGTTTTCAGCTCTTGTCACTTCACTTGACATTTTATTGTCAACATATGTTTTGTCTGCTAGTTCAGGATGAGTATGTTCTTTTGTTGCATAAGCTTTGTTAGCTCTTTCTTCTTCTTTTGCTATTGCATCGTCTACATATTCTTTGTCAGCTTTGTTGCCAACATCTGCTTTCAAAAGAAGTTCAGATATAGGTTTCTCGTTTAAAGTTCCTTTTGTTGGATTTATACAGACAGTATGGTTCTTATTGTCTTGAAACAGAAACTCATCTGTCATTGGGTTTAATGTCAGTTTTAAGTTTCCTTCTTTCAATGACTCAGATATCTTAGAATAGTTTGAAAAGTTTGTTGTGTTCTTATTTAGAGCTTGCATAATGAGTTGTCGGTTGTGTTGTATTTCTCTCATAGACGCTGTTTCATTTGACATTTTTATTCTAGATAAAATATGCTTCCAATAGAAAAAGAAAATTCAAGAGTTGCTACAACTAAACCATTAGATGAACTTTTTACTAATGTCGGTCAAAAGTTTGAGACAGAGACCGTAAAGCATGAAGGCTATCGTTTTGACTACCCACTAAGATGGCTAAGAGACCCATCTGTCACAAAAGCTATTGGCTTTCGTAGAATGAAGTTTGTGTCTGTAGAAGATAAAAGTTTTCCATTTATTGTAAGGTTTCATATAGATTATATATCTGAAGGGAAACGAAAAATGTGGGAAGAAATTGAGCTAATACAAGTTGACCTTTCATCTTCTCTACAGACTGCGTTAAAAAATATAGAAGATAAAATAAATTCATGTTATGCAAAATATGCTGATGAATATGCAAATACCGAGAGCACACTTTATGTGAGAATTGTATATGACAAACAAAATTCACAAGTGTCATTTCAAATCTACGAAGACAATCCAAAGAAAGACGAACAAATATATACAGAATTCACTGCAATGTCATGGTATTATTGCAAAGAATGTTAAATCAGAAAGTCGAACTTCCTTTAGCAAATATTTACAGTCGATATGCAAGAGATGAACCATATTTATTTAAAGATGTTTTCGACCCAGCTGCTATTATTGTTCATGCTTCATTTTCTGGCGCCCAAAACTCTTTCTTATGCTTGGCAAATGACTTTTACGAAAAACCTACAAAGCTATACGAACCACCAAGTGGAAGTATTTCAGACTTTCAAGTATGGTTTACTACAGATGGAAGAAAGAGAATAATTCCATTATACCACGCGTTTTACTTAGAACTTAGTTTCATATACAACTACTATCGAACGGTAAAAATATGATTTTTTAATACGGTTGAGGTGTTGGATTTGGTTGCCAACTAGACTGTGGTGCAGGTTCAGGCTGTTGTATAACAGGAGCTTGTTCTTCTGGTTCAGGGTCTTTAGGTATAATACCAACGAACTGACCTACTCTTTTACCAATATTTTTGACTCCGTTCCAAATTCCTCTTCCTACGGTTTTTATTCCATTCCATATACCTCTTCCAACATTTCGAAAGAAGTTTCCTATCTTACTGAAGAAACCCATTTTACTATGTAAAAATCTAATGTCCGCCTAGTCTCTTACGTTTCCTGTTGAGTTCCATAGCATTCTTTAACTGGAGCTCATACATTCTGTTTCTCCTCTGGTAGAAAACATATTCTGGGTCAACTCCTGTGTTCGCGTCATCTGCATAAAGTTGTTTATATCCCACTTCAGGGTTTGTATAAACTCTTTCCATCTCATATTTGCATACCATGGTGGCAAACCTAACGCAGCGTCATTTGACATGGCAGTTTGCATTTGTACATCTGTTGGCACTTGACCATAGTTTGCCATTGCAGTTTGTATTCTAACTTCATTTGGAATATTCTCTGGGTTTGGTTGTCCAGGTTGCTGTGCATTCGCTAAGTTCTGTGCGTCCATTTAATATTAGATAAAAATATCTCTTACGAGTACATATACTGGACATTTGCAGGCATTGGTTCATCTTCATATTCTCTATATCTTTCTGCCACGTCAAATAAGTAAATGACACAATGGAAAAAACCTAAAACAAGTAGTCCTATTTCAAACCACATTTACTTACCAATAAAATTTCTTTGTTATGACACTTTCTCCAGTTTATAGGACCTCTCTCATATTCTATCTTGTCATATCTAAACTCATAGTCATGTATATCTTCTAACCATCTCATGACACTTTCCAAACCACTTTTATCGGATGTAAAGTAAAAGCATGGATGGTTATGTAAAACGTCTAAAGTTTCTAAAGAGTCTCTCAAAGTCCAGTCTACTTGGTATTGAAAATCCCATGTGTTATAGAACGGCGGGTCCACTATAAAGAAAACATTTTCCTTGTTTTTATATTTTTCATACAACTCTGTCCAATGACATCTCACAAACTCTATACCCTCAGTATATTTTTCTATGTTCTCTTTGAAAACATTTGTATAGTTAAGATATAAAACTTTTGACATAAATGTTTCAATGTCATGAACTCTTATAGCACCACTATATAATAGTCTAGCAGATATACTATCCCAGTCAATATACTCTGCCTTTTTCAAAACCTCTCTGACAGTATTTTTCTTATCTAATGGTATACGTTCCATCTTACCTATAGGTATCTTTTCTTTTAACTCTTTCAATATATTGTTTGTGTCTGGTATATGTTTGAGACGGTCCATATAGTTGTCGAAGTCATTGCATATAATCTTTGAGTCTGGGAATATTGTATGGCACAAATGGGATATATAGAAACTTCCACCGAACAAATCTACAAATGTTAGACCATTCGGTAGTTTCTTAAGTTCTCTCAATAGAATATCTTTACATCTACTCTTATTTCCAAAGAAGGGTAACGGTGGTTTTGTAAAATTCATTTTATATATATAATAAAAATGTTTTTACCTGAAAAGTGACAGAAAAGTGACAAAACATGAAAACATATATAATTTGTGAAAAGCTCCTGGAAGACCCGTATATAAGAACTTCATTTATACTAAACATCTTCGGGGCTAGAGGGCACGAAGTGCCTGGAAGCCCCACTACCTTTTTTTTTTTTTTTTTTTTTTTTTTTTTTTTTGCTAATAATAAAAAATTATTTGAAGAATTGACAACATGTAAATTGAATAAAATGTTTAAAGTTGATGGATTCAAAATTTCAAAAATAAAAGGAGTGGTTAGTTTGAAATCTATTCCTCAATCAAGAATCACCTCATTAATGAAAATTGATGATTTAACAAAAAGAATAGAAATTATTGAAGAGCGAATAAATCAAATTATTGATTTCATAAATCATGACTCGTTGAGCCCGGGTCCTTAAAGCTCAAGGCACAAAGTGCCCAGGACTTAAAGTCCATCACTGAGTTCAAGGTTATATTCATCAAATATTTCATTATTAAATGCAACTTCTGCTAGTTTATTTATTTTTTCAATACGATCATTTGAAAGTCTATCGTTTAATTTTTTCTGAAGTTTTTCATTTTCTAGTTCTGAAACTTTATTTGGATGATATTTAAACCCGTTAAATTCTTTTTCCTCAGTTTTGATCATTAATTTACAAAGAACTTTTGTGGTTGGAATTTGTTTAAACCATTTTATCATTAATATTTGTTTATATATTCAATATCTGGAATTAATTCCCAAATTTTTGCATTTTCAATTAATTTATTATCAAATGCAAAAGCAATAAGTTTTAATATTAAACTTACCTTTATAATAAACTTTCTACATAATCATCGAAATAAACATCTACTTGTTTAACATTTTCAAGAATTGGTGAAAGAGCATCCATTAATTGATTGACGGTTACGAATCTTGATCCACTCATTTTCATACAAATTAAAAAATAAATTATTCAAAAATGTAAGACATGAATTTTTAAAGTTTATTTTTTTTATTTTTTTATTTTTTTTTATTTCATTATGTATGGGTTTAGTGTAAATGTCTTACAATTTTGAAAATTTTTTAAATCTTGATTTATTCAAAAACGTAAGAATAAAAACCGTAAGAATCATACATTTTTTACTTCATATGTTAAAAAAAATGATACAAAATCACTCGATATTGTATGAATTCTTACGTTTACAAAAAAAGTCACAAAACCCGCACTATATACTACTTACTCTTAATTTAAAAAAATTTCAAAATCCATAATAGTAAACATTTCTTATTTTTATTTAAATCTGAAAAAAATAAATTTAAACAATTTCTCTACACACGACGGCTTCGGCGGTTTTCAGAATGGTTGACAACTGAATTCATCAGGATAATGTCGGTTGGGGTGCCCTTCTTGGCCTCCTGAGTACTCACCAAGATACCCCCAGCTCCCGCAAAACACCTCCCATAGGTGAGCATTAACTGATGAAGTTATTGACAACTTTATCTAATTTTTTTTTTGTTTTTTTGTTAAGATTTCTTTACCAAAGACTCGAAAACAAAACTTCGCTTCAAGTTGCTGTCTTCCCAGTTACTCTGTCGCAATCTTTTGTCTGATTGCGTGCAAAGTTCTGCTCCTTTGAGACTTTGCCCGACAGATGCATCTGGGAGACAGCACCCAAGCAGCTTATCGCTTCAAGTTGCTGTCTTCCCAGTTACTCTGTCGCAATCTTTTGTCTGATTGCGTGCAAAGTTCTGCTCCATGAATTATCAAATATGTGCCATTTCAGGAGAGATAACAAGCTCATGCCTCCTGGAATGGCGGATTGTTCAACAATCTTCTTCTGATTGCAGAACTTTCAACCGACAAGAGTGCACAATACACTCTTGTCGGTCAAAGTTCCGCATTCAAGTTATGAATGGGGAACTTGATATCATTCTGGGAGACATGCAGTGACAATGTCTCCCGGAATGAGACACTGTGACCGACAAGAGTGCACAATACACTTAATGTTTTCAAATTTTCAGATTTACCCAGATTTGCTTTACTTTTACCACCTCTCGAAAGCTGGGGACACCGCCTATCGTTGGGAGTAGCTATTAAATAGAACCACCAAGGGTATTTTTCGAACTGCCGGTGTAGTGGAAACATCCGACATAATGATTCATTATGCCAAGGTTTGATTCCCATTTAGCCAATTTTTTTCTTTTTTGGATCATGAATTTTTTTTTGGGTCACTATAAGATTTGTTTCATGTTCTAAATCTGCTGCATATGTAATCTATTTTTATTTACCTATTTTTTAAAAATCTATTGGATTGCCAAATTTGAATATATTTAAAATCATAAAAATCCAAAAAAACTATAAATATATGTTTTATGCATAGTGCCGATACTCAAATATCAGATTACTTAGATCCATGAATAATATCCGAATTTTTTTTCTTAAAATTAAACTTCAAAACTTCTTCCAATCTTATTCTTAATCAATTGTAAATTTTTAAAACCATTTTTTAAAATAATTTTGCGTAAATTTTATTCTCATGTTGTTTTAATCGAAAATTGATACATTTTCAAAAAAATAATATTGACTTATGAAATTCATTTTTAAGGTGAAATAGTATTGTTTTTATTAAAGTATATGAATAATATATAAAAAATTAATGAATAATATAAGCAGATTTTTAGTTTACAAAACAAATATGAGCAATGCAACTTTCAAACTTTTGCTGGCAATTTCGATATTGCTCAAGTTTGTAGTAATTTGTGATACCTATAACATCGGCTTAATCAAAATTCGATTTTTCTTATGAGTTATTGAGAAAATTTGATTGCAATGAGAAGGATTTCGACGTTTTTGATAAACTAAGAGCTGAGCTTTAGGGGTTCAGTTCATTTATGGCTGTAGTTTGATGCGTAGATCTCTTTTTTATTGTAAATTCTTTCAGCATGGAGATCGAGAATGAATCTTTTGAGAACTTTATGAGTTTTTACACCCGTAAGGAGGTCCTTCGAGGAAAGATAGTCCAGACTACATGAAGATGTGGGTTAACCAAAAAAATCCGATGGTTTCCCCATATTCATGTAGATCTTCGAAAAAATGAGCACCAAAAAAGCCAAAAAAATAGGCTTTTTATTGGATTTGTACACTAGATCAATAATCTATTTAGGATCTGACACTCTTTTTAGCCAGAGATATGAGGTCCTTTCTAGGAAAACGATCTATTCATCCATAAAAAAATGAATTATCGTTTTCCCCAGAAATTACATGGGGAGTGGTAAAAGTAAAGCAAATCTGGGTAAATTTAATCTTTATTTTCATCATCATTTATAGTCTTGTTCCTTTATACAGTTATAATAAATTATCGTCAGATTCTAATATTTAAGATTCTTACTACTCAATTCAATATAATTATGTTAGTCACTCATATTCAGGAGAATAATTTAAAAATCTATAGCTCATATTTTGATAGTTATATATTTAGATGATATATATTGCAATTCCGGTTTCAACACGATCAAATGCCAAACCAAGACAAAATATATATGAATTTTCAAAATATCGATTTACATTAGAATCTATATCTAATTTTATCAATACACAAGTAGTGAATGTTCAATACATCTTTGAGCAACGTGAATAGCACAATTTTATAGGATTATTAGTTGATTATATAAAATATAAGCCAAATCGAATCTGCTGTATAGTACTTTAGTTTATCATTGAATGTTAAATGTGTTCAGATAAATATTTGAGTCAGATATCGCATTTTCTAATTTCAAAATTTATCTCATGAAGTTAGAATTTATTTGATCATACAACATCATGTTAGTCAAACTAGAGTTCAATGGCGATTCTAAAATGGAACAAATGCTTGTTTTATCAAAATGTTAAAATATTAATCTAAAAAACTTAATATCTAACCAAACCATTCTAGAATTATTATATACAGGTATGGGCAATCTAAATGCACACGGAATTCGGAAAATTAAAAAGAATATTTATGAGATTATTAAATCTTATGTAATTCAATGAAAAGTAGATAATATGAATATCCATAGGCTATATATCAACATATGAGTTTTTGGTTTGACCAATACTATACTAATGTGATCAAATTAATCTGATTTCTTAGATTTTCATTTGAAGCATTTGCAGTAGTAGGGGTACCTTTATATATTAACATATTAAAAAATTGCGCTCCGATTCGCAGTTTCTTCATGATTTTGAGATTGCATTAGATTTCGCGATGCAGAAAAAAATCACTTTAGATTCCCGTCAAACTCTAAGTATAAGCATGTCTCTATATGTAGAAACTGTCTGCGCTATTTATTTCCCGGCTCAAAAAACCACGGTGTCTGTGTGAGGAAAATACCCATTTTAGGACCCTGGGTAGGGGGTCATGAAAATTTTCCAAGAGTTGGAAATATAGGGTGGTTTCTAATTTAATAATAATGAATATCTTGCTTTAAATGAAAAATTAATTTCTAATATATCAATCCCATTGCTTCCAATCTTAATTCAGATTACGGAATTCTGATTGATTTAAAAAATAAAATTTACTATGGGATACCAACTTTTTTATGCTAGTTTGTTATTCATGAAACAATATGGAATAAATAAACTGGAAACTACTGAATTTTTAATAATATTTCTCATATTTTTACGAAAGAATTCCAAGATATATGTTGCCTCTAGTAGGTATTGATGTTCCAACTAGTATTGAATGGAAAAAATAAATATCAAAATCGAAATAATATATCTAAATGCAAAAAAGTAAAAATTTGAAAGAATTACGTAACTTTATTATATGGATAGAAATTTCAAAGAGTCATATTGAAAGATTCTAAGCTTTTCATGTGTTCATAAGCAGTAACATCAATTTTTGTTGGTGTAATGCTGACATATCCATTTTGAAGGGCCCATCTGTCTGTTCCTTCAGCATCTGGTTCGTGGTTGTAAAACTTTCCAGATGGCCAGTAATATTTTGATCCTCGTGGGTGTGTTCGCTCTATGAATTCATCACCCCAATGGGCGCTTGTTTGCCTGCATACGCGTATTCCTTTAAACTCGTTTCTCTTCGGGAAGTTAATATTCAAGCAAACTCCGTCTGGTAAGCCTTCCTTAAGGACCTTTTCGCAAATCTGACGTACTATAGGAATTGTTGCAGAAAAATCTGCATCTGGTGATGAATCGCATACAGAAAATCCAATTGATGGTACACCTTTCATGCAGCCTTCGATTGGGATACCCATTGTACCTGAGTAATGTACATTAACTGATGCGTTATCGCCATGATTGATGCCACCAAGGATTAAATTTGGAGTGCGAGGAACATATGCGTTCAATGCGAGTTTAATACAATCAACTGGTGTTCCATTGCATTTATATATTGTTAGGTTATCTTCTTTCTGAATTAATGTTGCTGTTAAAGGTGTTGAAACAGTAATTGCTCCAGCAGAGCCTGATCTAGGGCCATCAGGAGCAAAAACGAGGACCTCGCCTAATGTACGGATAGATTCGATAAGGGCTTTAATGCCTTTAGCGTCATATCCATCATCATTGGAGATTAAAATAAGAGGCTTCTGATTCTCCATTACTTATAAAAAAAATTGGTTTGAAGGTGTAAAAGATAATTTATTTCTTATTTAGCTCTTCAACAAATGTTCGCATATAACATCTGTATCTTTTGAATGCATCAGACTACAAAATAGAGTCAGAATTTTATTATTGATTTTGAAACAAGGCTTATTTTCTCACAATAGGAAACCGGAAGATTAAATAGTATGAAATTAAAATGTTAAGGTATCGGATATGCTTGAAAAAGGCATGAATTTTTTCTTTATAGATTTTTCCGGGAGATAGATAATAAGATAGAATATATGATAAGTCTGTAGTGTTCTCTTCGTCAATTTGTATACTATAGATCTTTTTAATGAAATTTGAAACTTCATATTAAAGGATTACTTGTTAAATCACTTGTTTTTTTGTTGACTGCACAAATATTATGTGTGTCATCCATTTGGATAGTTGTCACTTGAAACATATTACAAATGATCAGGTTTTTAGTGAAGAAAGTACTCACCTTATTTTGAATGGGAAAATAGGTCAACGTAAATTTTATGGTTTTATCATTACTGTACTGATTACATTATGAACAATATCTCTGAAACCGAAAAAAAATGATTCATAAAATATGACACTTTTAAAAGCAATAGGTGAAGAAGCCCTTTCAATTTTGAATAGTTTACTTTTTTCCTTTCAAACTGTATCCCATTCAAAATATTATATATCGGCCAATTTGGTCTCAATTTATTGGAGAAACAAAAATCAATCAAGTTTTCCAAATATTAATGTACGTCCCAAAATCAATTTTTAAAATCAAATTTGTCAGAATCAAAAGTGAGCCAGTTTATTTTTATCTTATATTGAGCCTGTGATGTTCGGGAAATACGAAAAAGAAGTAAACACCCTTGTTAATATCATGAAGAGAGCTATTCCAATGACAATAGGTATCCAGAAGCGTTTAGATTTCGAAGAAGTCAGGACAAAGAAAGATGGAACCTACGTCTCGATTGCAGATTACGCTATCCAATCAATTATTATGGATGGAATTTTTAATAACCTCCCAGGTGATGACTGCTTAGGCGAAGAGGACTGTGGAAAATTAAATCCATATTTCTTATCCATGGTTAAAAAAGTTTTACCAGACGATTTTGATCCAGTAAAGGCATGCCATAAAGCCATCTTCAAATGGGGTCCTGACAACCACCGTGTATGGGTTATCGATCCAATCGACGGAACAGCTGGCTTTGTTTCAAACGGAGCATACGCAATCGCAACAGCTCTTCTTATCGATATGAAGGTTGCCTGTTCAATCACTGCCTGGCCACTCCATGACCCACAATATACTGGACTTCCTTTCGAGGGACCAGCTATTTTCATTGCAACAGATGAAGGCTTAGCCGTTGCTATGGATATGGAAGGAAATACTTATGATATGACCAAACCAACCTGCCATGAGTCCGGATTATTAACTAATGGCTTAGGAAGGGTCCTTGCCGTTATCAAAGAAACATTCCGTATTGATAACATCATTAGCATGGTTTCTATGGTTAAAGGATTTATTTTGGCCTCAGGAAAGGCAAGTGTATACGCAAGAATTCATAAAATGCAAGAGCATGTTTGGGATGTTGCACCATTCGAGCTTTTCGTCAGAAACTGCGGTGGTTATGTTACAGATGGACTTGGTCATCAGCTAGTTTATTTACCAAATGGTATGATTAAAGATACAGAGTACGGAATTCTCTCTACAATTGGAAGACAAGAATTCCACGATAAAGTTCTTGCTACAATGCGTGAAGGAATGAAGAACATTTTACAGATTGACTACTGGGAGGATTAAGAGAACTTGTCACATATCATAATAAGATTCTCCCAACTATACATCTTTTTTCGGACTTTTTTTTATATAAATTGATCTTATTATATAACTTTTTCTTTATATTTTACTTCGTGCATAACACTTTGTAATGTAAACTGGTATGGAAGGCTATATATCGTTAGATTTAAAGTTATGTCTCACAATTTTTTCGTGATGAAAAAAATACTAAGATAAAGATATGAAACTCGGCTCTATAATGTTTCACATCATAATAGTCTTTCTTATATTTGTTATTTGCAATCTTTTGCTCTTTTGCAGGGAAGAAAGGAAGTAACGATAATCGTCGGGGAAGTAAAAAGTGACAATTTATGGAAGTTGATAATGAAGCAAGAAAAGTATTGTTAGATAACGGAATTAGATCTCAATTTCTTGATTTATTTGCATCAGCGGGCTTTCTTACTCGTGAAAAGCTTACTGCGACTCCTCCAATGACAATTTCTTTCCAAACTCATGTTCCTTTGAACATCTGTAACGATGCAGCAGACATATTAGCAAAAGCAATTGCTCCCGAAGTTAAAATTGTTGAAGAAGAAGACATAGGAGTTTTATTTCACGATGATATACTTGACAATCTTATTAAAATACCTAAAAATGGTATTATCGAATTTACTGGCCCAGCTGGATGCGGAAAATCCAATATTATTTACCATTTATTAATCAATCAGATCATCTCAGATCCAGAAAGAAGAGTAGTCTTAATTAGTACAGAAGGACATGTTCCTACTCAAAGACTTCACAAAATTGCCGAAATGAGAGGTCTAGACCCAGAAGAAGTCTTGTCAATGATATTAATCAAAGAAGCAACAGAAGTTGTCGAGTTTAACCAAATAATTAACGTAACATTACCTCAACTATTCTCTACATGTGTTCCTCCTCCTTCAATTGTTGCTATTGACTCCATTGCAGCGCTATTTCGTTCTGAATTCGACATGAATGCGGCCAAACAACGCGCACAGATGTTATTTGATATGTCAACAATACTTAAATGGATCTCTGCTTCTTATAACTGCTTAATATTCACAACAAACCAAGTTACAGCGAACATGGGTCCTTTTACAACCCAAGAATGGGTTCCTTCACTCGGCCTTGCATGGTCGAACTGTGTAAACATGCGCGTAAGGGTTACAAAGAGTTCTATGAAGAGAGATATACAAGAAGAAGTTCCAACAGCTTATGGAAGAAATTCGGAGTCAAAAACCGTTACTTTGAGGACAATGTACGTTGAAATATCTCCCAGAGCTCAAGATGTGAAAGCTACATTCTATATTTCCGATTCTGGAGTTCATGGAGCTTAATATTTTTATTATTTTTATTTTTGATTGTTGTTTGTAAATAACTGTTATATAAACATGTTAATTTCATCATTACAATATATTATATTAAACAGATTTTGAATGTTTTGGTTGAATATTTTGATTGATTTTTTCGAATTAAAGAATAATGTAAAATCTGTTTTACATCCAAATACTCTTTATGTGATTAATCATATTTCAAAGTAATACACTTCTAAATGAAACAATCTCAAAATATCGAATCAATTGTTCTCAAGAAAGGGAAATTCAAAGTTTGTTGTGCCATTATGAGCGTAACTGTTTCATCTCAGAGCATTTCCCATTAATCTGGCTTTTTGTTCAACCGCTCTTTTAGATAAGAAAAAATTTGACATGATGTTTTTTGTTTTATCCCACTTATCTTTCTCCGCTGGCTTTCTCTCCGAAATGAAATGCAACATGTGCTCTAATAAGGTTGAAAAGTCTAAAGCTAACTTTACCCAATTCTGGAAAGAATACGATTTCACAGAAAATTGCAAGAAATTATCACGAAATAACTTTGACACATGTATGAAAGCTGCCCCAGAAGTAATGGAAACGCTTTTCAATTCTGCTGAGCCAAAATCAGTTTGCAGAATGATAACATTATGTGACCCAGCTCCCAAACCACCAAAACTCAAAGCAAAATCTAGTGCATCAATAGCCAATTTGTACAAAGAATTTAATCCATGTCAATATTCGAAATTACTTGCAGATTATTTAAGCGGTAAAGGTTTGAAGAGTTATACAATCCCTGTCATCAAGAAATCATTTGTTGAGTTAGGAGATTCATTCCCTTCTCTAAAATCATACCTTGGTTCGGCAACAGATCAAACTATCACAGATTTTGTTTATTCTCTATTCGAAACTTCTACTCCAGCTGAATTTTCAGCCCAACTATCCATATGTACAAAGAAGGAATTATAAAAAATATATTATTTGTTATATTGCTTTATTTTTAATAATTGTTCATTATTTAGGTTTTTTGCAAATAAATTCTTTGTTTCTGTTCATGAATATGTAAAATATTTGAAAAAATATGAAATATCAGAAGTAAAAAAAGTTGAATTTCTCTAATAATCATTCTAAGATGACTTTTAATTGTTTAGTAGATACGGTGAGCCTTGCCCATTGTGGACTTGAGGACAATGGAGCCGATTGATTGCCAGCCCTTCTTAAGAAGTGTGACAACGTAGTTTGTGCAAAGTGTAAGGTTTTCGAAAACCTGGCGCTCTGTCATGTTGACGTTGCCGATTGGGATACCGAAAGCGACGGACTTCTTCAGACGGATGTTAGCTGTGCGCTTAACTTCATCAACAACCTTAGCGACTGTATCTGTCTTGATGTTTGTTGGGAACTTGTTAGCACGTGTGTAAACCTGACCAAGGACCTTGTTGACCTGACCGATAACATCTGGGGAAGCAAGGAAGAGGTGGTGGCGCTTTGTCCAGGCCTTGACAACCTTCTTCTCCTTGTTGAAGTTTGTAAGTGTTGGAAGATCGTAAGCTGGGATGTTGAGCTTCTGGGCTTCTTCGCAGTGGACCTTGTTACCAAGGACACCGATGCGAACGTTTGGACGGATGATGTGTGGGAGCTTGATGGAGCCGACGAAACGCTTATCCTTAGAAACGTTGTAGCCCTTGAGCTTGAGCTGGATATCGACTGTCTCGAGGAAGCCGCGCTTCTTTGTCTTGGCGCCCTCAAGAACGTCCTTGATAGCCTTTTGGAGTGTTTCCTGGTGAAGATGTGTCATCGGAAGAAAAGGCCATGTCAAACCGTAATAATTGAATAAATAAAAATTAAAAAGTTTGGATTTTGCTATAAAAATATTCTATTTCATTAAGATATGATATTTTCCTTGAAGAACATTCCAAATTTTTTTCAAAATTTAAAATTCAAACTAAATCTTCCTAAAATTTTTATTCATTTTTTCAAATTTCGAATTTTTTTGGAATTTTTCTCTGTAAATTTATTAAAACAAGAAGATAAAACGTCATAATTTTAATCAATTTCAATATGTGTATATTCATGAAGAGGTTTTTTCATATGTTTCCACAATAATTAGGATTCAATTTTTCCCATAATGGTCAAATTAACAAACTAACATGAAATTGGATGAGAATAGGTATATAAAAGACATATCAGATAAGTAAAAATGTTAAAAATGCTAGAGATATATCATTTTTCAAACAAATATCATATAAATCGTGCTATATCATCAACACTTATAATTTTCAAAGTCACAGATATGCCAAAATCGATCTTTTTCAAGTTGTTGATTGCCAGAAATCAATGTAATCATTTCATTACAAATACTGTAAAAAATTGAAATGTTTACATCCCGATCATTTTGTTATGACTGAAGAATTTCTGGCAAAAGCATTACCAATTATCAAGCAAATTGCGCGTGAATCAGGCGAAATCATCATCAAACACTACGAAAGTCACGATTTCACAGAAATTACAAAGACATCTGCCGCAGATATCCTTACACAAGCTGATCTAGACAGTGATAAGCATATTAGAGAAGAGTTGAAGAAACATTTCCCAGAAGCAGGCATGATTACAGAAGAAGGTGATGATATCCCACCAAAAGTTCGTGGAGAAAATGAAATCTGGTTCTGTGCAGATCCACTTGATGGAACAACAAACTTTTCATGCGGAGTACCTTACTTTTCTGTTAGCATTGGTATACTTGATTCTAATCATCGTTCAATCGGTGGCTGCATCTATGATCCAAACAGAGATGAAATGTTCTGGGCCATACGCAACCACGGAGCTTTCCTTGATACAAAAGGTCAATCAAAGCAAATTCATGTTAGACATCGTACAGAATTAGTTAATTGCTTAGTTGCTACGGGATTTTGCTCAGACCACCTTACCAATCCAGACAACAATCTCAAAGAAATCTCGTTGATACTTCCTAAAGTTCGCTGCATCAGACGTTGGGGTGGAACTTGTTTGGACATGTGCTACGTTGCTGCATCCAGATTTGACGCATATTGGGAACAAGGACCACATATTTGGGATGTGGCAGCTGCTTGGGTCATTGCCGAAGAGGCTGGAGCAATAGTTTCTGGATATGATGGAAAACCTTTCAATAACGAGTTCCTTCACCAACCAAAGCTCAATATTTTGTGTGCCCCGGTTGAAACACACGCTACTTTCTCTCAGCTTATTATGGAAGCTAGGAAAGATTTATAAAGTTATAATAAATTAGATTTTTAACTAGATATGATTAAGTATGTTTTTACTAAGATCTAGAAGTTATATACATTGGCATAAGTTTCTCCTTTCTGATAACAGTTATCTGATAAAATAGATTTTGGAAGCAAAAATTCACGCCTGTAAATATATAAAAAATTAAAATGGAAAATTCTATTGTTTTAAGGGCAGATTCTGGTCATAATTCTTCTTCGAGCTCACGAAGAAACTCAGATGAGATGAGAATTATGACTCCTCCAAAAAATTCTAAACAAATTGCAAATAGAGTTTCTCCTTCTTTAATGATTGGCAATAAGAAGGTTAATCTAACACCATTCATTATCATTCGTTTACTCATTTCGATTATCATATTAGTTATTCTTTTATTTTACATATATTCCTTCATTATTTCGTTATTTTCTCAAATTATCAAACGATGGAGATATAAGCGGGAAATAACTGATCAATACAATAGGGTTGTTGGCGAGTATGATTGCTTCAATAAAACAAACAAGGTAAAAATTAAAATAGATGTCCAAAAATGTGCAGAAGCTGAACGATATTATTATGGAAACATATCCAAAATCGATTCGGTGCTTCAAATGACCTCCAAATCTCTTGCTGAATCGCTGAATAGTTTCTTTTCCAAGCTACAAACACCCGGATTCTTTTTAATAGTAATCCTCATATCTATTCTCACGCTTACAACAACATTCATGTAAAATTTGATCTTCTCAACCAAAGATTTGGAAGATCAAGATGTCAATAAAAAAATCAAATAACAACCAATTTAACAATATACTCATCATAAATCAACTCAATTAAACCTATCAAAGGACGAATTTACAAAACTTTTAATAAGAACGTCAATTTCTTCTTTTGAACAAACAACAAACAATAGTTCTTTAAAATACAGATAATATGTGAAGACTATGAGAAGAATTTCCTTAACTCTGGAGATAATTTTAAAATTATTTCAAGAAGAAGCAATGATCAACAAGGAATTCAACAATACTTATTATAAATGACATAAATGGAATATTCTACAAAAGACAAAATTAAAACACATCGCAAATTTTTAACGAATTGCAGAAAGATCGTCAAAGAAGAATATTTACCGATGACCAGCTTTTAATCAAGGCTAAATAGGCATGTATTCAAATTATTTAACCATAAAAATGCTGTTTTAGACGTCAAAAGAAAACAAATTTACAAAAACCATTCATGCACAGCAAAACCAAATTCCAGAGCAAAAGAAATACTTGACAGTATTCCCCTGATCAAATTGAACACAAATCGAGCCAAAAACCAGAAATTTTTAAACTATTTTGACGAAAAATAGAAATCTGAGTAAGAACTCCCAGTCGCAAATTTCAATAGATTTAAGAAGAAGTTTATATAGGTCAGAAATGAATATATGATAAGAATAAAAAGAATTTAACAATAATTTTTTTTTTTAAATCTGACTTTGATACATGCTTATATATCATTTACTCAAAATCTCAATAAAAAGCAATTGCAAGACAAATTTTCTCACATTTGTCCTTTATTCAAATTTCTGATAAATCGTGTGAAGTTTCATTGAAAATTAGCCTCAAGAACCAAAATTGAAGGTCACATTATATAGGCGCAAGTTATGCATAAGTAAAAATAATTTATTTAGGTATTAAAAATACAACTAACTGTTAAAAAGATGATTTGTCGTTTGAATCAAATTGTATATTGCATAATTATATTGTTCTACAGATAATGTTTAATATCTTTATTTGCAAAGTCGAGAGCAGTTCTTCCATCATTATTCTTTGCTTCTTTAATAGCTCCAGCAGAGATAAGATGTTTAACAACTTCAAGATGTCCATCTATTGATGCAGAAATGAGTGGAGTATATTCATATTTATCCTTTGCTTCTTTATCAGCTCCAGCAGAAATAAGATATTTAACAACTTCAAGATGTCCATTTATTGATGCATAAATGAGTGGAGTATATTCACCATTACCCTTTACACGTTTATCAGCTCCAGCAGAAATAAGATATTTAACAACTTCAAGATGTCCATTTTGTGATGCACAAATGAGTGGAGTATATCCAATATTACACTTTGCTTCTTTATTAGCTCTAACAGAGATAAGATATTTAACAACTTCAAGATGTCCATTTATTGATGCATAAATGAGTGGAGTATATTCACCATTACCCTTTACACGTTTATCAGCTCCAATAGAGATAAGATATTTAACAACTTCAAGATGTCCATTTTGTGATGCATAAATGAGTGGCGTATTTCCAAAATAATCCTTTGCTTCTTTATCAGCACCAATAGAGATAAGATATTTAACAACTTCAAGATGACCATTCCATGAGGCACAAATGAGTGGAGTCAAAAGCTTAATACTCTTTGTTTCTTTATCACAGCCATATTCAATAAGAGATTTAACAAGTCTGAAATTTCCTTTTTCACATGCTATATGAAGTACATTCTTTTCATCAGCATATTTATCTTTTTTAGGAGCTATCTTCAACCAAAATCCTTCTTCACATGCTTTTGAAAACATTTTTTGATTTCCTTGAGATGAAAGTTCATCAAGGAAATTGTAGATACTTTCAAAATCACCTGATTCCTTGAGTTTTGAAATTTTTGATAAAATTTCTTCCTGATTAATTGTTTTATTGATTTGATTGGAATTACTTTCTATTTCATTGAGTTTTCCATTTAATTTGTTGTTTTTTTCATTAATTTGATTGAGTTGAGATTGAAGAGATTTTATTTCGTTGTCACTTTTTTGTTTTTGTTTTTGAATTTCGTTTAGCTCTTTTTGAAGTTTTTGGATTTTTTCTGTAGATTCAGACATTTCTTTCGCTTTTGGATCTAAAAAGTCAACAATACCTTTAAGTATTCCGAGTTTCATGTACTTTTTGATTGATTTCAGTGTTGAAATAACATCTTCAAAGTTTTGAATATAAATATTAGCATTTCGAGTACATGAATATAATTTATTTGCTTTGATAGTAGGATGTGACTGCTCAAGAAGAGCAATGAAGTCATTTGTTGTTAAATTTGAATTTTTCATGATATTTTTGATGTCTTCAATTTCAAATACATCGAAAAAATTACCTTCTTTAATGTAATCACTGATATGAGTAGCAATGTATTCATAATTCTGAATAATACCCTGACTCATCGGAATAAGAAGTTGTAACTTTACAAATTTACAAATTCATCGAAGATTTACACTTTTCCGACGTTTTATCAGGGGCGCGAAGCGACCCAAAAATGTCGGAAAAGTGTAATTCTCAGGTATATGATTATTTTTGCTTTTAATGCCGAACAGCATTTGAATCAAAAATAATCATATGTCTGAGAATTTAAAATTCTCGAAATAAAATATTAAAATGTTTTAAACAATATAAATTTGCAAGGCAATTAATTAGGAACCACCGCATTAAAAGATTTTTAAAATTATATTTTCACAAAATAACACATTCTTTGGTAAGAATTCATATTAAGTATATGATTTAATATATAGATATATTGAAAAAACAAACTCTTTTAAAAATGATTTTTTTTTAATATTCATACAAACATTCATTTTTGATCTAATTCGTTAAGTCCCGCATCTGATTTCGTCTTAGAAATTACTTTACCGTCAATTCCAGAGACAGAAGATAGCGAGAACATAGACTTCGAACCTTGGACAGGATGAAACAGAATTGTAGACTTTGCCTTCCTTCTTGTATTGGAATGCAACGTAGACGGGATTGATCGAACAATCTGGCAAGCTGGTAGTTTCGAAGTTGACATGACTTTCATATGTTTCAAGAGAGATCCTTTTTCTAGGTAAGCATTTTCACGAGGAATAGGTGTGATTGGTGGCAAAGAGAATGTCTGTATGTTTCCATCGTTGGCAATGAATACTAAACCACAGCGATTATCAACATCTGCATCATAAGCAGAGCTGGAGAAGATTGTAAGACCTTTATCACCAAATAATCGCTCTATACCTAATTTGACGCATTGGTGAGCTCTAAGAAGTTTTGTAAAGTTAAATCTTTTGAGAAAATCGTCGATTGCGAGATGGCCAAATAAGGCACCATCACCTCTAGCGGATTCCTCAAACCACATTGTGCTTTCGTTCGGATCGGACCAAAGAATGTCTTTGAGAACTTGAGAATCACAGAAATTAATGGGCCTTTTAACAGAAGAAATCTGTGTGAGGTCACGTAATGCTGATGATATGCCGCCATGAACACAAAAATATGTTCCATTGATGATGGCCGCAAAAGGCAAACAATCGAAGACCTTATTAAAACGTTCCCATAGAGGTTCTATGCCGTAAATATCAAGAACTTGTGATTTAAAGCCATACATATCGTTAATATTTCGGAATTCATGATTTCCACGGATGAGATAAATATTTGATGGGAAAAGAATGACGAGGCAGAATAAGAGCATAACTACTTCGACAGAGTATGGTCCTCTGTCAACGTAGTCACCTAAAAAGAGGAATTTTGTTCTTGGCGGAAGATCAGCCAAAACTAGAATTCTGATTAAATCGTAGATATTCCCGTGGAGATCTCCAACAACATAGATTGGAGTCGTAAGCTCCATTATCGCAGGTTGATTGAGTAAATAGGGTTTAACGTAGTCACATAATTGTTCACATTCGTCAGCCGTAAACGTTGGGATGGCAATTGAAACACCGATTTGATTGACATCAGATGGCTTAACTTGGAGGCATGTAGTGAAATAGCCAAAAAGTTTTTTAGCAAAAGCTTGAGCGTTCGGATCTCCTCCAAGATTCATTGATCAAATACAAAAATTTTTTTTGTTGAAGAAAAAAACTTATTTGGCTATATTTAAATCTTATTACTAAACACTAAAATGAACAAAAATTTCATTATGATCCCCAAATATTCAGATTGAAATGCTAACAAAATTTAGAGGTAGGGCAACGATAGGTCAAAAAGGCTTCTCTGATAGATTTCCTTGCCTTTTGGATATGCTATAATATATAGCCTAGCATGATAGGATATGATGTCAAAAGTTAGAACATAACTTAGGATCTTGAGAAAAATGAAAAACAAAAATTACATAAAAAAAGAAAAATTTTATCTAATTTGTTTTTTTGGACCGAATAAGTAATTTTATTGAATTTCAATACGACACATAGATTTTATTATTAGTAATAAATATAATGGTTTACTATTAACAAGGAACCTAAACTAATGAAAATTTGATTTCAAATATTGTATATGATTATCATAGATTACCAAAATATATTGCTATTTATGAGGATATAATATTGATTATTAGTAAATCGTATAAATTTAATAAATATACCATGAATATTGAATGAATTTCTTGATTCATAGGGGTAAAACGCGCTTTTATATGATTTAGACAGAGAATTTATGAGATGTAAATAACACAATAAAGGTTTATATTGAATATTTTCTAAAAATAAATCGAAATTATAAAAAACAATACATTTATTCATTGAAACTACTTGGACAAATATGAAACAAGCATTCAGGCAATACTTTTGAGACTTCAACGCATCTGATAATTTTTATATAACTTCACCTCTTATGCTTAGAGTGGAGGTATTGAGATCGTATAAGTATAGATGAGCTCACATTCAGATATGATGTGTGAACTTCTGTTTTCACTGCAATTTTGAATCAGAATAAACTCAAAACAAGAATAAAATGATATACTCACTCTCTAAATGTGTTCGAGATTTAAAGTTGTATGAATAAAACGATTCATCTTTCGAAGCCTCCCATTTAATGAGAGACTTCGAAAGATGAATGTATTCATGTAGATGAAATACTATATATGACCATGTGTGATACTAAAGATATCAAAATGTTCATTTTTAAGTGCAATAGAAGGGTTATCTCTCGTAAAATCTCAATTTAAGGAAGATTTAGAAAGAACTCCTTTCCTAAGTAGATAGTGTGTGGTTTCTGTCTTTTGGTTGATCAGGAACTATGAAATTAAGTCGGACAGAAAGAAGTTCTTTCCAAAACAGACTCCAAATGAGTTGTTCGAAAAGAACTTCCTTCTGTATATGGATAATTGTAGTTACCGCACTGAAGTATGTGATTGTGATGATGGAGTTCTCGATAAATCTAAAATCGGATTAAGATTAATTGAAAACTCAAGTAATTCTTTGAAATCTTGTGTTGTCTGGCACTATAATAACCAAAGAATGAGAATATTATGTTGAATGATGAGTACGTGTGCTCGGCATTCGCCGAGCGAATTGAGTTTAACGTACTATGAAAAGTGACAAATTTGGGCTTTTTTTCCTAGGGTTATGATCTCTTCCTTTCTGCTCAATACGACAGAAATGAAAGAATGAATTTGTACTCCCTAATTGATTACTACAATCTGTATCTATCTTTAACATAGAATTAGCTGCATTGTGATTTATACTCCAGAATTATTCAATTTAAGATCAACCTCGTAAATTTTAATCATATTGCACCAATACTCCTACGTTGAGATAAGAACATGATTATACATACCAAAGCCCCATATTAAAAATCAAAATTTAGCACCTCCATTATGCAACCACATTATTCGTCGCAAATAAGTATATTTACGCATATTATGATGCATATTCACACAACTCGTATACATGAAAAGTTATTAAAATCAGACAAAATTATTGCAATAAGGAAAAAAAAACAACTTTATTATATATGTTAGTAATGAATTACAAATATTTCTACAAAGAATGCTCAATACTTCATATAATCTTCGAATATTTCTTATTACAAGTTAATACATTTTGACTCGAACATGATAAACAAAAGCTGACACGCTGATTACTACATTTATGAAAATATAGTACGTTTCCATTCATCTGTTTACTTGTTTTTGTTGGAATAAAATCATTTTTTTTTTCTTTCATGAAATAAGAATTTTGCTGCGAAAGCAATATCTCTAACAATAATTAATACATTACGTCAACTCTGGAATGAGTATTTATCAAATATGATATCAAAATCAAAAATTAGTTGTTTTTTATGAGTAAAAACGATGTAAATTGATTATTTGACTAATTATCAAATACTTTGATTTTCCAAATTTTTTTCGAAATTGATTTTTTCATGTGAAAATTCAAATTGTTTAATTTCATTTTTGAAATTTTGAATTTTTTTTGGAATTTTGAGTTGATCAATTCAGCAGAATTGATAATGCTATTGCTTTAGGGCATACCACAAGGTGATGAATAAAAGGTGAACATTAACAAATTATTTTAAATCACAAATATCATCCTCATCAACTTTAATTCTAAAAAGAACTGTACTGAATTATGAAAATGCATGATTTACATTATTAAAATCTTTGAATGAAAATAGTACAAGATAAGTTTTTATTCATTTTTAATTAGATTTAAACGAAAAACTACTCCATATTAAAATTTAAGTCGAGAAATCGTATTTTGTTCTTATTTGTTAGCATTTTGTAGACATTCTAATCTTGAATTAATTTGTTACATGATATTATTAACAAATTTAACTGAAAAAATATGTTAATATGGAATAAACCATGATTATATAAGCTATCAATGCTATATATACATATGTAAAAGATTCATATTAACTCAATTAACAAAAATGATAGATTTTCATAAAGGCTCAATCTAGGTTCGTCCGAAAATTTTGATTTTTATATAGAAGACATAGTTTCATATACATAATTAAATTTTCAAACAAATTTGATCATACCATTTATTAAGCAGGATAGTATATTAATTACTATCAGTATAAAAATATAAAAATGATTATATTTAATTATTGCATAATTTAGTCAAAGTGTTATAAGCCTCAAGTGATCGTTATCACCTTCAATGCACATATACTTTATTGATTCATAGATATTTAATCTATGTTTGACATGTTGTTGTCGTCATTCGTTTTGTTCCCATTCTTCCTAAGTTAGAATTAGAGAATACACCATCCACATCATCTAATTTGGTCCTCAGCGATAGATTGGTTCATTTTGGAGGAGTCCCATCAGACAGTTTTCGAGCACCAAATATCAAATTTTAATGTATACAAATCTTTAGTGATTTATCTCTTTTATGATGAGTAAAAGGTTTCTGCTCATCAACATTTGATTTCCGACATATATGATTTCTAATTGCAATTATTTACTTTCTTTTTATAATCTAACTCTGTGACTCATACCATAAATTAATTATTGGAAAGTGTCAATATGTTTGGCACAACGCATGGCGGAAGATACCAAACCATGCAGGGAATATGATACGTTTAAGATCTCCGAACTTTTTTTCCAAAAATTTTCTATCGTTGCCCTACCTCTCAAAATTTCGATAGTCTAAAACAAATTCTTATCATTTATTGTCAATTCTTTACACTAAGGGTTTCGTTTTGCTAAAATTGTCACTTTTATAGCATATTTGTTTTTGGATGTTTTGCGAAACCAAAAAAAAAACTATGATATACAATGTGTGTGTAAAGAAAATACTTTATTTACTAGTTAAAAAATCATTTGGTATTGATCAAGTTATTTTTTCTGGATAAGATATTATATGGATAATTGGATAGAAAATACAATTATATAATCTTGTACCTGGTTTAATTAAGCTAATTGTCATCAGAAACTTGTAATTTTTATGAATTTCAGATTTTCTTTTCATTACTGCTTTTCTTAATAGGTCAAGTTCTTATTTACGTTATAAAGTATGATATTTACAAATATCAAGTTATCATGTTTTTTGAGAAATTATGAGAAACAAACAAAAATGAAAAAGATAGGAATAGCAATGAATAGTGATGTGGGTATAGAAAATGTAAGAGAGATGAATGCAAAGCAATCAGTATTTAGGACATTGACCATAGATTTCGAAAAAAAAATGCTGCATATTGAGCGAAAACTATGATTATATTATAAGGCTGTCATTTAAAGCATAATGAAACTATTCCCTTTTCATTTTAATCGAATAAGATAGTAAAGATTTTTGAATTAGCTAGAAACTGATGAGATGTTTTCACAAATCAGATTTTTAATCTCTATAATGCATAATTCACTCAATATCTCAATTTTGATATTGCGAGATATTTTTGCTATCGGTTTCGCAATTTTGACACAATAGCAAGAGGGTTCTATAAGCATTATTATCAACGTAGAATCTGAATATCATATCAGAAAATGTCGCAAATCCGACATTTACCTGACCAAATAGCAAAAATAATTGAATACTTTTCGCAAAAACTTTAAAAATCGATAAAAATATGAAATATAGATATTAAAGAGACTTTTTATATAATATTCATAAAGATTTTCCAAAAATATGATACCGCAAAATTAAAAAAGTGACGTCTTGAGTGGAGTCAAAGGTCGAAATTGCTAGCTAAATGTTTTTTAGCGAAATTGCATATTGTACGTTTTTTTCGCAAAACGAAACTCTTATTTACACTGTATATTGGCATGAATTGTGAGACCTTCAATTTTTTTCTGAACTTTTTATATTTCTTCGGCTAAATTTTTATGTTTCAATATGCTCACAATTCTTATATAATTTGCTCTTATTTCTTGTTATCCATTAATTGTGAGAAATATCTAAAAATTGAACAACCGATTATTTGATATGTAACCAACAACATTTCTCGTACGAAAAATAATCAAATTCAAAAATAATGCTTTCAAAATTACGAAGCAATTGAATTTTATTAAAAGTTGATAGGAATGAGAGTAATAAGTTTTTAAAATGGTCTTTCTCTATTTACAAAATTAAAAGTGACAAATAATCAAAATTTTGAAAATTACCACTTCATAGGAATGAAAAATTCAAGCCATAAAAAAAAAAAAAAAAAAAAAAGGTATTGGGGCTTCCAGGGGCTGCGCCCCTTCTAGCCCTGAAGATGTTTAGTATAAATGAAGTTTTTATTCGGAGGGCTTCCAGGCGCGTTGCGCCCTCTAGCCCATAAAAAATTTTTGAGAGTCGTCGCCGTTGACTTTTTTGTATAGCACTCAAAATAGTATAACTTTGTCCGGACAAGTAAGGGTCTATCGTCGCTACAGGAAAAGTTACAGGCGTTCCAAGGAAGTATACTTTGAGAAGCCTTTTCTCCCTTATAGAATGAGATAGGACGGTTATTTTACAAAACTGACAACAGTTTGACCGAGTAGTTTTTTGTGCTGAACAAAAAGTGTCATATAAACATCTGTCAAAAACCGCTTTTTACTTCACTTAAAATGCCACGTAAGCTACGTAAGAATATACGTAAGAGGAAGAGAGCATTGAAACATCCAATAGTAAAACTGACACCACAACAACAGTTGCAACAACAAATGATGAATGACCCCACTATGTTGCAACAAATGTCAAGCAATCCTATGCTTTTAAACCGAGTTTTTGGTGCACAGAGTGGAGGTTTAAGAGCGGCACTTTTAGCGAAAATGGCAGGCTATGGTGGAGCTGCAGACGGAACAGCCTATAACCCTCAAAGTCAAATGAATTTGAGTTCACTCAAAAATCAAATATCAGATGTCAAAAAGTCAAACATAGACATACAGAAACAAATAAGTGAAAACGAAAAGAAACTAGAATATGACAGACACACAAAGAAACTCAATGAGTTAAACGTAGAGAAAAAGAAGAAAGAAGAACAACTGAAAGAACTAAGTACAGAGGAATATGCGAAAAAAGTGTCAGAAAAAGCAGCAGAAGTAGCAAAAATGGAACAAGATGTTGTAAATTTGAAAAACCATACTACTCAATATAAAGTACTGAAAGATGAAGAGATAAAACAAAAAGCCATGAAGACATATATGGATAGCGATGAGTATAAAAAAGAAGTTGAAGCAAATGTAAAGGCAGAAAAACTTTTACAGTTGCAAAACCAAACCGTACAGTATGAAAACTTAGCACAAGAAAGTAAAAATAACGACGCAGCCATGCAAAAGGCAATGAAAAGCACAGAATATATAAAAGCTAACAATGACTGGTTAGATGCCCAAGCCAACGCTAAAGCAGCCCAACTTATAGGGTCAATAAGGACAAAAATACAAGCGGATGAAGACAGTTCAAATGAAGCTTTAATGAATGCTGACTTTAAGAACGCCTTCGAAGCTCTTCATAGTAAGGTGAAACTAGTGAACGACTTCTCATCTGGAAAGAAACTGAAGTCTGAAGGTTTCGACAAAGAGTTAAGAGAAGTAGCACAAAATATGACGAAAATAACAGATGCAGCAACGAGACAGGCAGTTCAAAGTGCCTATGACGCCGTTAGAGCAACTGTTGTGGAAAGTCAAGAAAAAGAGTTACAACAGACCAAAACAGACCTAGTAAATGCTTTCTTAAAAACGAAAAGTCAGGTAGGACATTATGCTGCAGATGGAACATATGTGCCAGCTGGTGGAACTTATAAACCAGCTGGTGGAACTTATATACTAGCTAGTGGAATTTATATACCACCAAACCCTCCAAGAGAAGCACCTGCACCAGGACTACCTAAAACATTTACATCGTCACATGGACATAGACACAGGCATGCACCAAAACCAGCACAACAACCAACACAACAACCAACACAACAACAACAACCAGCACAACAACCACCTCCACAACCAGCACAACAACCAACACAACAACCAACACAACCAAAACCAACAGTTCAAAACCCTGCACCTGCACCACCTCCACAACCAGCACCACAACCAACAGTTCAAAACACTGCACCTGCACCACCTCCACAACCAACAGTTCAAAATCCAGCACAGCAACAACAAACAGAGCAAGGACATAAAAGAAGTAAAGAAAAAGGAAACCAAGAATTCTTAAAAATGCTAAAGGAAGACTATGGTTACTCAGATACTATTGACTTTAGTGACAGATATAAAGAAGCTATTAAAAAGTTCAAGGAAGGAAATATTGACCCGAACCTATTTAGCTTTATGGCTCAGCATAAAATCGGATATAATTTCAAACCTGGAAAATACAAGCTCGCTAAGGGATATGATTTAATAGCATATCATCCAAATGACATGACTGAATTTACTCCGAGATATTTGGTGTCAGAGCTAAATGACAATTCAACTATCTTCATGAAACGCATAAAAAATAGAGACGGAACGAAAGAAGAAAGGGTTATGAATGCGGATGACTTAAATAGGGAACTTGTTGAAAACGGTCTCGGAATATATGAAATGCCAGCAGATGAGGTACAAGAAACTCCACAGGAAGAAGTTCAGATACAACCAGACATGGAAGAAATAGTTCAGCAACAACAGCTAGAAGAGCCTGAAGGAAACGAACAAGTCCCTCCTTTGGAAACTAACTTCACAGAACTAGATGAAGATTTGGAACAGCCGAAAAATCTTGACCCTCAACAAGAGTATGCGGAGAATATGGAATCTTTCCAAGAGTCTAAGAAAAATTCGGCTGACATAGTAGAAGAATATCGAAAAATGTTCGCCGACATACAAAAGACTCCAACATCAGATGAAAATATTCAGCATAGAATGGAAGAACTGAAAGAAAATGTACACAAATACAATAACCCTTTTTACTTACGACCATATAACGTTCAATCTTTTGCTGAACTCGGTGAAAATAAAAGGTTAAATTTCAACAAAACATATAGAAATGAAACATTGTTTAAAGTTCATTCAGAACCTAACCAAGATGGAAACAAACCTACTTTTGTTTCTGCAGACTATGGAACTACAATGAGATGGGGTCATAAAGCTAACCCGGATAGGTGGTTCATAAACTTACAACCACAATTCCAAGAAGTTGTAGACGCAATGGAAGTCAATGGTGAACCAGATATAGCTGGTATTTTCAGCGCGGCTTTAATGCCATTGAAAGATATGAAACATGCAGATATTTTGGACCAGTATGAAATGAACATGGCTGATGGAAATATAACACTGACGTTCTAAAACATTTATCTCAAAGAACTACACAGAACCATAGAGATGGTATATTTGGTGAAGAGTTTAGAAAGAAAGTTAGGGAGACAGAAGGAAGAGAACCTATTGTACATGACCTTGCAAACGAAAGTTTGCAAAATGTCATAAAAACTTACTTTGCAGACAATGAACGAGAAGGGATGAATATTTAAGAAAACTCAAATGGACAGTACCAAATGAAATGTTAGTATTGAAAAACATGTTCCTTGACAAAATAAAACCAACTACAGAAATAAATGACGCAAGACTGAAACATTGGGTAAAAGCTTTCCCATTCACAAAAGATATAATTGGTAACATGGAAAGAAAACCAGAATGGCTACAAAAACATATATTTGGAAACGAGCTTATTCCATATGGACAAGCTCTGTTTGAAGAGCTTGAACCGGAAACTCAGGAAAGAGTCATGCAAACAATACGCGAAGACTCAAATACAAACTATGACAAACTCTTTCTAGGATATAGGTTACCTGAGATGGCGACCAGAGCCCAAAGGCAAAAAGGACATGGGAAATTTACAACATACTAGGTGAACATGAGGCAAAGATGCAACAACTTGAAGCAGAGGGCAAGTTACCAAAAGCGACACCAAAGAAGAAGAGAAGAGTAGAACAAAGTGAAAGTAGTGAAGAAGTAATTCATCTAGTGAAAGTAGTGGCAATGAAGGAAAAAGAAGAGTTAAAAACTCAGCCAGGAAGAAAGTAAAGCTTGGTCCACGTGGGTTCTATTATGACACATAAATCCAACTATTCTATATTTTTACCCATATGAAATGTACGCCGCTCAGAATATAACGCCAACAGTTTTGGATGCCATGAATGGAAATGTTTCCGAATGGTATAACGAATGCGACAATGCCATTAGAAGGTCAGAAATAGTTCCTGGAACTTACGAATATACAACTGCTGTTTCTTATGGAAATGTAGGTGAGTTTGGAGAAGGTTCTTCAACAACAGTAGATATTGCTTGCGACAGGTTTCATATAATTTCTATTGACAACTCTTTCTTATACGTGGAACAAGACATTGAAATAAAACCTTCTGCAAGTTGTCTGACAAGAAAGGTTGCAATGGAATTTTCTATGTCGGATACCAATATGCTCCAGAAGTTTTCATGGGATATAAGATATATTCTAACTCTGACTTAGTTCAAACAGTAACATGGGCAAACTATGAATGGTTCGCTTTGAGAAACTCAGTACAACCACAAGCTAGAGAACAAACAGACCAGTATGCAACTATTGAGAAAATAAGAAGACTTGACCCTAACGTTCCAGGAGTTTATGTTAACCTTTCTGGTTCAATGGAAATGCTGTCACTAAAGTAAAACTGAACTTAGAGTTCCTTTGTCATCTTTTCCTCATCTTCAGGTTTTTAAGATACTTGCCAAACTGGGCAGGAAAAATTTCTATTGAACTTACTCCAAGCAAAAATAACTTAGTCATTGCACCAACACAAGACCCATTCACTCTTACAGAAGTAGTGGGAACAAATAAAACGTCATTCGCCGACTTTTGCAAAAACAAAGTTGACTTAGACTTTGGTTTCTCAAACCTCAACACTGAAGTAATATTATTTCAATGCTGCTGGAACTGCTTGGGACCCAGTTAAGTTCATGCGAAAAATTTGAATGCAAGAGAAATAGAAAGCAGACTTGCCGTTTATATGTTGGACCCAGATATTTCAAATGCTTTAGCTGCCAAATATATTGCAGTTCCACTTATGTTCCCTATAACCAAATATCTGTCAAAGACTTTGCAGGTGAAGTTGGAAACCAAAGTGCTGACCCCAGGTGCAAGAACAGATATTGCTTTAACAACTGCAATGAAACATGCAGATACTATGTTTGTACTGTTCAGACGAACTATAAATGACTATTCTTGTTTCTACAACCCCGGTATTAAATATCATATAAACATAGATGGCAAATATTATCCAAGAAGAATATTCTACAGTTGAGGATATGAGGTCATACAACTTGACATTAGATGCTATGAACTTTAACAACTTCACACAACAACCATTAACCCTGAAATGCAAAGTTCTATTATGCATATGTGAAAGTATGGACTCATACAGGAGGTCAAAAAACTCAATATACAAATGGAGACCGTTCAAACTTTTGGCTTGGCATTCCATTTGCTGACTCAGAAGACTTTATGGGTGGTATTTCAACTGTTGGTAAGTTCAAATACAATATACTGGTGACAGAGACGGTCCAGATGAATTGAAAGCAAAGAAGTTTACAAAACCAATAGCACTTTTCACGGAAGATGCTCTTTTGAAGATTCGTTCGATGAAACCTGCTGGGGCTCCTCAGATTGGCATAACGACAGCTTCCATCGAGCAGATTTTGGCAGCAGGTCAGTAAAGTTGTTCTTGAACTGACTTCTCTCCGTCAAATATTGACAGTACGCCAGTTTTGACATAATATTGTATTATAATTACCTTTAGAAATATCTGTAAGTTTTGAAGTTATATTTTTGTCTGCTTCAAGAACTTTCACCATTTCAGTTATACCAACTTTCTTTGCTTTATGAAAATATTTTGGTTCAGCAAAGACTGCTATTCTATAACATTTACCATTGTTTGTATAAAGAACTATTCTGTCAATGTATTTGTATTGTTTGTGTGTGTAAACTTTGTTCTGCTTCAATTCGAAGAGATACTCAAATACGTCCATCTTTTTATTCTAAGTAAAATGTCATTTCCGAAAAATAGAAGCGTAAGTGTTTCAAAAGGTTTAATGGCGGTGGCAGATGTGAAGTTAATTCACCAACTCAAACAAACAGTCAAAGTGTTATTTGTCAATGTCAAAGAA